GGCAGCAGCTACTTACAGAACACGAGGGCGGAAGCTACAGTTGCTGGAGGGGCAGACTGGAGACCCCGCTGAGGACTTCGAAACAGGCGGTCAGGCCCCCAGGGCTCACTCCCCAGTCCCCGGCAGGCAAGGCGGCGGGTGAACAATGTCCTCTTGGAAAAATTCAGTAAATGTGAGGCCTCCAGCATCTCCAGCGCCCCAAACTCACCCCACATGATGCAAACCCGAGTGCAACACCCGCTCTCCGAGAAAATTCATTTTATTTAGTGGACTCATTGCCGCCGCCCATAAGCTTCAGGAACGAAAGTTTGTGAAATTACTTAAGAATGCTACATTGGGGGGTGCCTGGGTGGCTCAGTCAGTGAGGCATCTGCCTTCAGCTCAGATCATGATCCCAGGGTCCTGGGATCAAGCCCCGCATCGGGCTCCCTGCTCAGCGGGGAGCTGATTCTCCTTCTGCTGCTCCCCCTACTTGTGCTCGCTCTCTCTCTCAATTAAATAAATAAAATCTTAAAAAAAAAGAGAGAGAGAGAGAGGGGATTTATCTGTAGTGAGGACTTGTTCTTCGTATTCAGAGTTCAAACAAGGAGACAACTGCTCCAAGACCAAATTAAACATCATTCTTCAGGTCTGGGGAGCAGAAAACCCACCACATCAAGTAAGTCAGCTCCATGGGGTCGGCATCCACTCTGTGTGCGGGGCGGGACCCCCGTCAGAGCGCCCCCAGCAGCTTTCTGGAGCTGTTAGGATGGACTCCGCTGCTGGCCCTGGCCGCGCAGAGGGGGCCCCTAGTGAGGGCGGGGTGCACTCCCAGGCCCAGCGGTCAGCTCCTGCCAGTGGCATTGCATAGAGGCCGGGCTGCCTGCTGGCAGGGGGCGCACGACTCCGAGAGCCTGGGGACCCACAGCCACAAGACCCTGGGGAGGAAAGCCCTGCCGGCTGAGAAATGTCCCCGGGCTTTGAGCCTCCAGACACGCGGCCTTCTACCCAAAGCAGGAGCTGGGGCAACAGACGTCCACGCAGCTCAAGCCACGTCTATCCTGGGGCAGATCCTTTGGGCTCACAGGCCACTGGGGGACTGTGCCCCCAGCAGAATGCATGGGACTGGGGATGGGGGGCAGCAGCAACGCTGTGCCCTCACCCCCTCCCAGCATCCCACGGGGGGAGTCTGTGCCTTCGACCCCGCGTCAGGATTGGCCAGGCACCTTTGTACCAGGGCACCCGGCAAAGACGTGGCTGCTGCCAGACCCACTGGCTCCTCCCCATGGACGTGGGGCCAGAGACAGCTCTCCAGCGGCAGCGATGACCATGAGACGGCGGGTGTCTGCCAAGTACTGGGCCCATGAGTCTGTAACGCCGGGGCCTCACGGGGCACCTGCCGGTCCTTCTGGCGGAGCTGGCCCCCGGAACCACCACGGAAGCAGCCAGGGCCTGTGACCCGCCCCACACAGCCCTGCAGACAGCAGCTGGAGCAGCAAGCCTGTCTGAAGGGGGCAGGTGGGTGGGAGGAGGGGGCAGGGAGCCTCAGACCACCTGCAGCAGCGGGACGGGGACTTGGCCCACCTCTGGAATCCCGACGGCCAGCACCTCGCACCCTGGCCTCGCCTGCCTCGCAGCTGCTCTTCCTGCCTCTGCCGCAGCCCCAGGCGGCGTTACCCAGCAGCATGTCTGTGCCCACCGCACACCAGCCCTGCCAGGCGCTGCCCATCCCCAGACTGCCTCGAGCCAGCACGTAGGCCTGCTGCCCCGGCTCAGGGGGCCCAGGAACCATCCACTCAGTTCCCGACTTCCAGATGAGGCCTTGGCAGAACCCCATGGGCCGCTTACCTCCACCCACTGACAAAGCGTCACAGATCGCTTCAAACAAGGTGTCCTCCGTCTGGAGGGTAATTCGGCATCACGGGCACTTTGATCCAGAATTCTACTTCTGGAAATGGACTCGCAGCTCACACAAAGCAGCACGGACAGACAGGGGTGGAGACAGCCAGCCTCCCAACAGGACGGTGGGATGAGGCACGCCAAGGCCCCCGGGGAGGCGGCGGCCACGTGCTCGGATCTGTGTGCTGATGCAGCAGACCCAGAGCCGCATGAGATGCAGACTGGCTCTGGAAGGACACCAAGAACGAATTGGTGGGACGCAGCCACTGATTACCCATCTGATCGCGTGCTTTTTACAGCCCAACAAGGGGAACTTTCCTCAAGAGCAGACATCCTAATGGAAGGACTTCATTCACCAACCCCGTTCCTTTCAAGGCCGTGGTCTTGCCATAATCGGACTTGGAACTTTTTCAACGAATCCGAGGCGAGTGTTTCCCATGGGCCTGGATGCCCTAAGGACACGCTGGTCACAAGGGTACCCCACGACTGCATCTGGACCTCGACGTCCGAAAGGAAGAGCCTGCGCTGCCCCGTTCCCACGCTGGAACCTGCAAGTGCTTGAGTGCGGCTACCGCACGGCCCTGGGCTCCGCTGGGCAGGCTCACACACTTCCCACGGGGACCACGGCACCCACGGGCCGATCGCCTGCCTGACGCGGACTTCGGGCTTCAGACAGCGCCACACAGAGGACGTCCCAGAGATCCCACGATGGCAGCGATGGTCACATGGGCTCAGCAGCCGCTCAGAAGAGGAACCGGCGCTCCCCAGCAGCCAGGCACTGAAGACCTCCACCCTGGGGAGGGGGCAGTCTGCCGGCAGTTACAGCCAAGGACACAAGGCTCAAAGCAGAACTGCTTTCTCCCCATTCTCTGTACGACTCCAGCTAAGCAGAAGGAAAGCAGCACTCGGGGGTGGGGGTAGGGGTGGGGCAGAAAACCAGCCTGAGTCTCTGGCTGGACAGCAAACAGCTGTTGGGGGTAGGTAACAGGCAACTTGAGGACGCGGCAGTCTCCCCCTTGGCCATGGCACTGAAGCTGGGGTCGCTCACACACCTGGGATGGGTTCAAAGTCTCCATGCAGAAGGGCACCTGGGCGGCGCGGTCAGTTCAGCGTCTGACTCTTGGTTTCAGCTCAGGTCATGATCTCAGGGGCACGGGACCAAGCCCTGCGTCGGGCTCCGTGAAGGGCTCCACATGCGGTGTGGTGTCTGGTTGGAACTCTCTCCCTCTGCGCCCACCCTGCCCGCCCACACTCTTGCTCTCTCTCTAGAATAAATAAAATCTTAAAAAAATAGTCTCTACATAGAAAATCTACCCACCGCTCTCCAAATAATCATGCTAACACCACAGAGAAATGAGACACAAGGACACAAAGTGTATTCAACAAAGTATGTATTAAACCATTTTTCAGAAACTGGTTAAAATTAAGGCACTCCGAGCTTCCTGGTTTCCTTGAGGTTACATATATATGGCTGCTCTTAGGACTATTTCAGAAAAAAGCGTAGGGACTAAGACAGCCCTCCAGACGGCCTGGTGTGGGCTCAGGACCCCATGATGGGATTACATACACGGTATGGAAGAACGGGGAGCTCAGCAACCCAGAATCGAGACACAGCGCGAGCTTACAGAGTACTACTGCGCTAATACAAAGGTTGCTGAAGTCTGTTACAAAGTTTCTCTGCTGAATAAACAGTAAGACAAAAGGTGCAGGCTGCTATAAAATACTTAGGAATGTTTCATAGTACTTTAAACTGCTATCAAATGCCCAAGAAGTCAGAAAGATAGTAACAGAGTCCAGAGAGGTTAGTTTCCCAGCTGGTGGAAATTCCAGGACAGCACAGGCCGATGTGGCGGGCACTTTACTGGACGCCCGAGAGAGCGGGCTCTGCGGGGTCACAAGTGCAAAAGCCAAATATGTCATTTTCATAGGTGCCTGTCGACCCACTTTCCCAAAGCTAAACGTCTTCCTAATCCAAAGCAGTGTGGCACCTGGGCCTATTTTCAAACTGAAGGAAGGCTGTTCACACAGTTACGTCACTGCTGCCGCCCCTGACACGAAGCGCTCGGTCTATTCACTGTGGTCCTAGATCTTGATCTGAAAGGGACGGAACGGCCACAGAAGGCACGGCAGGGTGCGCCTGGAGGCCATGGACAGCCTCCCGAGAAGCTGCCTCTGCAGGAGTTCTCACCACACGCCCCAAGGAGCGCGGTTCCAGGACGGGGCTCGTCGGACAAGCACGTGGAAATCCCTCCCGCCGACCTGGACACCCGCCTCCCCGGTGGGCAGAGAGCCCCGCGGGGGGGGCCGCTGGTGCTCGGTCCCTCCCTCTTTGGGGACAACCCAGGCCCCTCAGTGACCGCGGTGCAGCCAGCCTGATGGGCACGAGAGGCTCGTGCGCCTCCGCACACAGGGCCCAACGCCTGCTGTCAACGGGCGGGAAGGCGAGAGCGGGGCGGCGGCGGCCTCCCCGGGCCCTGCGGCTCCGCGTCAGTGCTGTGGCACCCCGGAGAGGCAGCTTTCAAGCTTCATTTGTTACTCAAGTTTTCACTGGGAAAAAACCGTGATGTTCTGGTAAAGATACAAATGAAAACTTAAAAACTGTCCAATAAGTGCTCTGAACTTTGACAGTAAAGTTTTTTGGTGAAATGTTTTAGGTGGAGGAAGGAAATCCAAGAATTATTTAAAATGAAATGAAACGCAACACAGACCCAAGGTGAGCAGGACCCCCCCTCGGTGCTGTTCCGCACAGCTGGGGTGAGAGCGCGTCCTGAGTCAGCGCGCCGCACGGAGATGCCGCTGGGCTCACGGGGCAGTGGCCGGGTGACAGACGCCCTTCGTGCCCCGCCGCGTGCAGCCCGCCGCCGGCGCGGAAGGAGAGGTGGGCGGCTCTGCCTGCAGGTGGCTTACCGACCGATCGAGTGGTGCAATGTTTGTCTTTCCTCCTCAAAGTAACAACCAAACCAAAGCCAACCCCACCCCCCGAAGGGCTTTGTGTCTTGAGTGACTGAGTAGAGCTACAGAGAAGGGGACAGAAGCTCGCAGGTGCAGGCGGCCACGCACTGTGCTCTCGGCGGGGCAGGGGCTCCGCCAACCGGCGCCGCGTCCCGGGGCGGGGTGTGCCCTCAGTTGTTCTCAAACCTGGCGTATGGGTTTTCTTCTTTAAACAAACCTGGAACAAAACAACCCCGGTTACAAATGCACTCATGGGACGGCAAGCGAGATGCAAGACAGCAGGACAACTGAGCTCTACGCGAAGACCCACTGAGGCCTTGAGAGAAACGGGTGTCTGAGCAGGTTCGAGCACACTTCATCGTTCTGAATGTCAAACCACAGGTGACTTACAAAACCACCCTACTTTACATGTCCTTATCATGTTGACGGACTTAGAACGAGGTGACCTTCAATCTCACCGTCGAGCATCCTGATGTAACTAGTACGATGTACTTGGTCATAGATCTTTGGTGCTGAATATCCGAAGACGAGGAGCTCTCTTCGCAGTGCAGAAACCCACGCGATCTCTCCCTCTCTTCAGAAATCTGTACCACAAACCAACGCCCCCCAGAGCCACTGCAACACAGCTACTTGCTGCAGGAGATTTTGGGGGTGCGGGGCTGCTGGTCCTGAGGAGGACGGCGTGCCTCAAGCCACGGGAGGAAGCCCACGGTGGTTTTGGTAAAGGGCGTTCAGATGCCAAATGCCAAACACACCCAGTTGCGTTGGGAAAAGACAAAGCAAAACAGCTCCTAGCTCTATTTCTAGTTTAGAGGGGGAGAAACTGTTTTGTGATCAGGAAATCAAACACCTTCTAAAACCATAAGAAGGGTTTCGTCTACGTGTGCATTGTGTGTTAACTGCAGCATGTGCCTGTCCCCAGCCCCCTTGGGGACCCCTGGGGATTCTTCTACCAGCTGAGTCTTTCCAAAGTGCAGTCCACTCTATGGGCTTTGTGTAAACAGGCATGAGTTGGCTTTATCAGAGCAATTAAGGGCCACAGGAACCATCAAAACGGTAGGAAGGAAGTGCCCCAGGACACTGTTATGGAGACTGCCCCTGGGCCAGGGCCTGCACACAACTGGACAAAGGGGAAGACCTGAAAGCTACTTGTGCTTGGCAGTAAAGGCACTGCAGTGTGAGTCTGTGTGACACGTCTCTTGCCTTGTATTTATATTGTTAATCAGATGCCAACAAGCTCCTTTCCGCACTTTTCAATGTTGTAGAAAACCAAGGGGACCCGGCTGAGGGCAGCAGATCCTCGGTGGGCACCGCGCCAAGACTGCTGGACAGGGCATGTCGCCCACACGGAGTCTGTCACCACCTACGCAGGGAATGAGCACCGGACCCCAGGGCGAGTGCCACAGGCAGCAAGGGGGACACGCCAGGCTGGCCAGGAGAGGAGCAGCACCAAGGGGAGGCTGAGGGGCGGGAGCCAACCAGAGAAGGCTCTCTCGGTGGCTGGACATCGCGCCTTAAACGGAGGAGACCCGGCAGCAGGAGGAGGGGCAGTTGGGGCAGCCTCGTGCCTTGGAATCAACACCTGGAGGCTGGCAGGGTCACCCCCAGCCTGAGGTGACCCAGCACAAGGGCGTGACAGTGAGAGGAGGCACGTATGGATGGGGGTGGGGGCATGCAGCCAGCGGCCCCTGCCAGAGGGAACTGAGCCTTGGGGACTCTCTGTTTTAGTGCTTGGGATCTTAAAATACCAGGAAAACAATATCCTCTATAAAGAGAACTCCAAAATGCATACGTTAGTTGGTAAAGATTTTGGAATTTTCCTGATCAGAGTTTGCCTTCAGCCCAGCTGCCTGGTCCACCTGACACAGAGCATGTGATCCTCAGGTCATGAGGTCAAAGGAAGCACTGTGGCCCAGGGCTGGAGGCCCCATGGTGGTCACTGGGGAGGCCCAGTGCGTCCACGTCTCCCAATCCCAACAGCCAACTCAACAGGGGAGCAGAGTTAATGCTCTCACACAGTAAAAATAAGTCACCCCCACCCCACCCCCAGTCTCTCCAAACAAAAACCAAAACAAACCAGACAAAATGCCTGGGCAGCATGGAGAGCTGAGCCCGCAGAAGTCAGGTGTGAGAGCGACGTGAACACGAGGGTGGCAAGGCAGGGGAGGCCCGCAGTCATCACACACACCCCACATCACACAAACAGGGTGACAGGCTAGGAGCCACACGGAGCCCGGTCAAGTTCCACCCCCTCGGGAGCGAGCAGTCCTAGGAAGTTTGGTGAGAGAAAAATATGCCAAGGCTTCATCTTTTCCAAGACATTCGTGGGTTAGTTCATTACAGTCCGCACAGAGTAAACCCAGCTGCTCAACCCGGACAGGTGGACGAGGGAAGCAGTCACATCTCACAGTGTGGCATCAACTCCCAACCAAACGGAACGGACACGGACATCGCATCAACACTTACCGTATTTTTTTCTGATTTCATCATGTCTTGATTTCATCTCTGCTCTCCTAAAAAAGAAAAAAATCTCATTTAGCATCAAACTATTAATAACATTAAAAGATGTACCCTTCGCTTCCTTTGGCAGAGAGGCTGGGGACAGGCGCAGGTGGCCACCGGGCCAAGCAGGGTGACGACCAGCACCATCTTCTGAGGCCACTCCAGTGTCCTGTCATTTGGTTCTTTGTTTCAATAAAGGCAATTCAAATACTATGATTTCTTAAACTATTTTTCACGTAAAGAAAACACACTGAGGAGTGAAAATATGACACTAGGTTCTGCAGAAGATTGGGAATGTACACGTGTTAGTTGCTACTTAGGAGCGATGACTCTGCAGGGACAACGCCCACCCACCAGCGGCTGGCCTGACGCGGCAGCATGTCTCCGAGCCACGATCCCGCTCCCATCAGGCAGGGCCTGGTGACCCGCCGCACCTGCCACCCAGGCCTGGCCCGAGCTCCCCAAAGTGCTCCGTGAGCAGGGGAGGACAGCGTCTCCGCGTGCTGGCCGCAGCAGGCCCGCCCCAGGCGCAGGTAGGCAGGCGCCCCCAATGCCCAGCTCGCCCCAGCTGGGCCTCTGTCCTGCCCGTGGCAGCCCGGGAGGACAAGGACCCGCGCCGCGCCCGCACCCTGTCCCACAACCCCGGCTCGTGACCCACGGTCCGTCCAAAGCTGGAGAGAACTCGGGGCCGCGGGCGGCACTTCCCCACGGCCCACCAGGGCCCCGTGCCCCAGGGACGCCCCAGTGACCCGGGGCCTCACCTCTCCTCCTGCCGGATCCTGCGCTCCTCGCGCTCCCGCGCCGCCTTCTCCTCGCTCTTGTCCGGCTTCCGGCTCCTGTTCTTCCGGCAGCAGCAGCAGGCGCAGCACACGGCCACGGCCAGGAGGATGGCCCCCCCCACCACCGACAGCGTGATGATCAGTGCCTCGAAGTTCACTGCAAGGTCCACCGGGAGTCAGGAGTCAGGACAGGGTGCAGGGAGCCCAAAGCAGCACCCCCCAGTCCTAGAGCTGCCTGCCCCCAGGTCTCCTCTCTGTGCGGGTGTGTGACTTGTGAGCAATCTCTCAATCAACCGCCACGGCCCAGGCCACACACGGGGCGGCGTTCCTCCCCGCGGCAAGCCTGGGGCACGTGGACCGAAGCAGACACAGGAAGGAGAGTGCCCGCTGGGCGCGCAGACGGTCCTGACACACGTTTAGACTCTGTGGAACTCTAGAAATGGAACCGCAGCCTGGGGCAGCTTATCCAATCCTTAAACCCAAGTCCACAGCACGACACCGTGGGCCCTCGAACAGTCTGAATGGTCCAGGTCCACGAATCTGAGGGCGTGGTTTCCCCAAATCCAGGACGATACTGTACGTGCACTTTCTCTTCCTGATGACGTTCTCACTAACGTTTCCCTCTCTCTAGCCTACTTCCCTGTGAAAACACAGCACACGGTGCACATAACACGCACGCACACACGCGTGTGCACACCTCGAATGCTCTGTTACCAGCAAGCCTTCCGTCCACGGCAGGCTGGCAGCTGTTCAGTTTCCAGGAAATCAGAAGTTACATGCAGATGCACCCCAATGTTCAGAGCAGCAATGTCCGCAATAGCCAAACTGTGGAAGGAGCCGAGATGCCCTTCAACAGATGGATGGATAAAGAAGATGTGGTCCATATATACAATGGAATATTACTCAGCCATCAGAAAGGATGAATACCCAACTTTTACATCAACATGGATGGGACTGGAGGAGATTATGCTAAGTGAAGTAAGTCAAGCAGAGAAAGTCAATTATCACATGGTTTCACTTATTTGTGGAACATAAGGAATAGCATGGAGGACATTAGGAGAAGGAAGGGAAAAATGAAGGGAGGGAAATCGGAGGGAGAGACAAACCATGAGAGACTATGGACTCTGAGAAACAAGCTGAGGGTTCTAGAGGGGAGGGGGGTGGGGATGGGTTAGCCTGGTGATGGGTATTAAGGAGGGCACGTACTGCATGGAGCACTGGGCATTATATGCAAACAATGGATCGTGGATCACCACATCAAAAACTAATGATGTACTGTATGGTGACTAACATAATAAAATAAAATTAAAAAAAAAAGAAGTCACATGCAGATTTTCAAGTGCTCGGGGCGCCAGCACACCTAACCCCTACGCTGTTCAAGGTCACCTGCATTTACTTCCCCAGGACACCTTCTGACCCCAGCAGGCAGATGAGGGACCGTGGAGCCCTGGCACCACCCACGGGGCCTGAAGACGGCTGCCTCATCAGCTGCCAATGATTTTATGATTTCCCGTCAAGACCCAACTCCTGAGACAAGTAGTTAAAACAAGCTTTACAATTCTTTCTGACTTCTCCGAAGGATTTATAAAGCCAAACCCGCCAATAGTTTTCTATTTAATTAGAACCAGAGCCAATCAAAGAGCCCTGATAGTGCTCTTGCAAACATGTCCACTCGCCCCGTTCAGATGGCCACCGAGGCAGTTTTGGGAGCGAGCTCTGCCCAGGACGGCGGGTGGGCACAGGGAGGCCGCCGCCGAGAGCCGGGCACCCCACACAGATTGGCTGCGAGCCCCACAGGCTGGCTTCCAGTTTGTGCACCTACGCTGACGATCAGAATCAGGGTCACATCTGATGAAACACCTTCCAAGCTATAGTCACGTGGTTTCTCCTCCTGCCACCTGTTCTGGAAGAGCCAGCACACTAAGCAGTCATGACCGCAACAATATCAGAAAAGACCTTCACAAGCGGATGGCAGTGGGTTTTGACGACAGAACTTGCAAACAATCCACTTTAAAAACCAATCAGATCAGCAAGACACCTGGCTCAGAAATATGTCTGCCCCCCCCAAAACAGCTTTTCTGACTAGCAGCTAAAACCAGTTATAAAATACAGAAATCCCATGGGGCGCCTGGGTGGCTCAGCTGGTTGAGCGTCTGCCTTCGGCTCAGGTCATGATCCCGGGGTCCTGGGATCGAGTCCCGCATCGGGCTCCCTGCTCGGCAGGGTGTCTGCTTCTCCCTCTCCCTCTGCCACTCCCCCTTGCTTGTGCTCGCTCTCACCCTCTCTGTGTGTATGTCTGTGTCAAACAAATAAAATCTTAAAAAAAAAAAAACAAACGGAAATCCCGATCACAATGGGGAAAAACACTGCAGGCCCCCATTCCCATGAGCCCTCCGTAAAAGCTATGGAGCCTGAGGCCGTGAGGGTGACCTGAGTGCAGCAGAGACACCTGCTTCTGCCAAAGGGGTAACATCCTAAAGACTTCATGTTTCTCCAAGCGAACATGTAATTACAGTTAAAACCCCAAAACAATTTTGCCCAGAGCTGGATAAGATGATTCTAAAGTTCTTTGTCAGAACAGAGAGCACCCACGGCGTGAGGTCTGGAATTACAGTTACGTGCTGCCCTGACATCGAGGGGGGCTGGGGGCCCTCCCGGGCTCCCCAGACGGCACGAGCACAAGCCCCCTGCCCATTCTGTTCCCACAGAGAAGGCCGATACACCCTCAGCCCAGTGCGCCTTTCCAACCCTCCTTAGTGCACATGGGGACCTGGAGCATCCCCACGGATCCCTGAGTCCCAGGTGGCAGGCTTCAGTTCCATGCAGCCCCGGCAGGAATGACACCATGTGCACCTTCTCTTCGGAGGCAGGCCACCTGTCCTGAGTGCAGAGCCTAGCTCCCACAGTCCCTGGCTTGCTCCCTGCTCCCCGCTCCCCACGCTGTGGATCTCATCTGCCCCATGCCAGGCGTTCGGCCAGCCCCACGGCCCTGAAGCAGGGACTTCATTGCACAGGAGAATTATCAAAAGTGACCCCACTTGAAAGGTGCTCAACATCATTAGTCATCAGAGAAATGCAAATTAAAACCACAACGAAATACCCCTTCACGCCCACCGGATGGACTAAAATGAAGACGACTGATTACCCCAAGTGTTGGCAGGGACGTGGGACAACGGGAAGGCCCGCACCACCTGGAGGAGCGTAAACTGGCACAGCCACTCTGGGAAAACGTCTGCGGACCTACTATGCGTGGCGACCCTGTGATTGTGCTCCTCAGTACACGCCCAGTGGAAGTGAGCGTGGGCAGCCGGCCCCACGAGCACGTTTACGGCAGCACTGGGCTGTCCGCGTGGACGCCTGCAGGGCACTGAGCAGCCGCCGGACAGATGGGCCGGGACACTGGAGTCTCAGACACACGACTGCATGGAAAGTCGGACAAACACACGTGATTTCCTTTACGGGAAGGGCAGCGTAGGCAGCACCCCCCTGTGCTGATGGAAAGTCAGCCCTGGGCTGACACGGGGTCCTGACATGGTCAGGCTGCGAGCGCTGAGCGGAGGTTACCTGTCTATGTGTGTCAAAACCTCACTCCACTCCCTGAACGGGTGTAGGTGTTATGTACACGTGTGTGTCTGTTAGACACTAGAGTCTACGGGGACAGGGAAACAGCATGTGCACTTCATTAGAAGTCATGCCTCATCTTAAGAACACCTTAACAACTCAGGCTCAGAATGCCCCAGGCTCCCTGGTCCAGGACTGGTCTCTCTGGGGTCTCACAAGGGTTAACAGACCCACAGAGAGAGCGCCTGGAAAACCCACCATCTCCAGACAGAAAGGGACAAGTCAGGAAAGAAGGGCCTGACCATGCTGAGCAGGACTCCCAGCACACAGATGCAGCCGAGACACCGTGTGCTGAAACAGTCCCCAAACACACCCTCTGCCCTCCGCCATCTCGGGATGCAGAGGGACCCAGTGCAGAGCCGAGGCTAATGGCCCTACAGCTGGGCCTCCAGACCCCAGGGACCGCCAGCAGCCCTCCCAGAAAGCACACTCTCTCACTGGCTTCCTGACTTCCTGCAGAGAGCACATGTTCTGGCAGCTTATGTTCACTGAGCACAACCAGACTTTCCAAAACACAGACTTTGCGAGAACTCTATGAAAACGAAGACTCACCCCAGCAAACGCCCCAGCGTGCAGAGCTCAGCTTACAGAGGGAACTGGGCGGCAGGATCCTGCTCACCGGGTAGTCCAAGCACGCCTTGTTGGTGTGGCACCAAAGACACTGAAAAAGATGAATGTTCGACAAACATCAGAAATGCAACATACACACCCAAGAATCAGACTGACTGGGATTTGAGCCCCACTACACCTCCTGCTCGCCCTCAGGTGACAGACTGGAAGGCCTCAGCCCCCACCCCACCCCATCAGCTCCCCCCGATCTGGCCCACCAGGGTTGAGGTTACTCAAACCCTCTCCCACCAGGCACCCTGCCTGGCCTCTTGGCCTCTGTGCACGTCCTGAAAGCTGCCAGGTGGCTCCCTGCCCAGAATCTTTGCACAGCCACTCCTTCTGCCCAGAACATTCTTCCCCAAGCATGTGTGCCCTCCCCTCCCCCACATGGCCTCCCCTGAGCAACCCACTCACCATCGCCCCGCCTCCCCATCACCTTCCCATCAGTAGCACCCAACACACTCAGCGGGGTACCTATCTCAGTTCATCTGCAGGAGGGCAGGCAGGACCCAGCAGGCCCACAGGAGGAGCTCAGTAAGTCCTTGTCAGTGGACTTAAGTGACCTTGGAAAACACTGTGACCTCTCCAACTGCATGGCGTGCCTGGCTGTCTTAAAGATAGTGCATCTGGGGGCGCCTAGGTCTGTGAAGCGTCTGCCTTCGGCTCAGGACATGATCTCAGGGTCCTGGGATCGAGCCCCATGTTGTGGTCCCTGCTCAGCGGGGAGCCTGCTTCTCCCTCTCCCTCTGCCCCTCCCCTGCTCACCCTCTCTCTGTCTCTCTCAAGTGAATAAATAAATTCTTAAAAAAAAAAAAAAAGTGCATTAAGGCTCAAAGGCACCGGCCCAGAACCTCAGGGCTGGAGGGCGCCTCACAGACACTCCTGTCCGAGTCCCTAAGAACATCAGGGGCGAGGCACCACACCCCGCCGGCCACTCGATCGCTCCCGGCACCAGGTGCACGTGAGTGGCCCAGATGTGTGCTCGGGTAGCCCTCATGGGTCCTCAGGTCACGGTTTTGCACTTGGTACTTTGAATCCTGAAGGTAACCGTCTTACAGAGTCTTCTCTGAGTTCTTCAAAAGGGCAGGAAATCAGGTATTTGTGTCCCAGGCCAGGGTGCAAGTCCATTACGAATGTGAGGAAGAAGCCTGGGCTCTCCCAGAGCTACACGGCGCATTTACCATGCTCACAGCACGCTCAGCGAACAGCGCTCAACCCTCTTCTGGCCGTGGGAGAACACCCTCCACGTCAGCGGCCTGGTCCCGGTGAACGGCTTTTGGTAAATCCTCCATTTTCACAGAATGCTAGTTTCCCATGTTTACAACCATGTCATAACCATGTTACTGAAAGCCATGGGAGCTCGCTAGGAGGATGGTTCTCTTTTGTGGGGAGCACTTCAGGTGGCAGCAATAGGTCACCGTCACACACATGAGAGCCCCCGGGGCCAAGGAGGTGGCCGTGCTACTTACGGAGACATTTTTCAGGCACTCCTCACAGGTTCTGTTAGTGTTCTGAGAGCAAGCTGTGGGGACGAACACATATCAGAGAGTCAGGCAAGGCCCACACGTGCTCGGGAGGGCTGCGGGGAGAGGGGGACAGGCTCCACTCCCAACCCCAGAGCCGCACATCCTCTCCCAGCAGCCAGCCTTCAGGGAGCACCCACTGGGCCCCGGGGAGGAGGCAGACACAGCACCAAGGCTCCTATATCTGCAAGGGGTCATGCAGGAAACAGGCCTCGGCACACAAAGGCAGTGCCTCCAGGGAAGAGGGTATGAGCCCAGACGCGTCCCACAGACCCTAGCCAGCCCAGGCCCCCTGGCTCCTCAGCACACACTGCCTTTGGAACCAAAGGCCACAGCAATGCCAGGCCCACGAGACAAAAGCCAGGCATTGGCCCTGCCAGTCCCCCCCAGCCCTGCGGGAGAAGCCCCCCCCCAGAATCAGCAGATGCCAATCCTGCAGGGCACCCCGCAGCTCTGGCCACTCCTCACCCACCAAGGGGTCAAACCCCACACAGCTAACAGCTCTGGAGCTCAAGCTAATCAGAAGTAAAGAACTAGGGTATGAATAAAACATGCACATCCCCTCTCAGGCTGCGATTTACCACACCCCATGACTCAAAACACACACACATACTTTGGAAAAGAGCTGTGTGTGTAACCTCATTAGTCACCAGGAATTGCAACTTAAAGTCATAGCCAGATACCACTTCACATCCACCAGAATGACTAACATTAAAAAGACTGGCAACGCTAGGTGTTGGCGCAGACAGAGAGCAATTGGGAAGTCTCACACAGTGTGGATGGGAGTGCAAAAGGGTTCCACCTATGTCTCCCCTAGGACTCAGCAACCCTACTCAAGTATTTCACTCAAGAAAATCAGAACAGGGTGCCTGGGTGGCTCAGTTGGTTAGGCGACTGCCTTCTGCTCAGGTCATGATCCCAGAGTCCTGGGATCGAGTCCCACATCGGGCTCCCGGCTCAGCGGGGAGCCTGCTTCTCCCTCTGACCCTCTCACCTCTCGTGCTGTTTCTCTCTTGCTTGCTCTCTCATAAATAAATAAATAAAGTCTTTAAAAAAAAAAGAAAATCAGAACAGAAGCCCCCAGGAAGACTTGTACAGAAATGTTCATGGCAACATTTTTTTTTGAAAGATTTATTTATTTGAGAGAGAGAGCTCGAGTGAGCACACATGGGGGGAGTAGAGGGGGAGGGAGAAGCAGGCTCCCCGTGGAGCACAGAGCCCTGGGATCAGGACCTGAGCCACAGGCAGATGCTTAACCAACTGACCACCCTAGCACCTTTATGGTAACAGCAAAAAGCTTCAAACAGCCCAGATGCCCAAGCACAGAAGGATGGGCTAACCGGTGTGGTTGTACAACAGAACAGTATTTAGCCACGAGAGGAAGTGCACTGTATGCAGAAGACACGGACGAATCTTAGAAACATTATGGGGGCTCATGGAAACCTGACACAAAGACCATCCTGCTGGATTCCCTGGACGCGCAGCTCTGGATCCACTCCTCTACACTGGGAAAGGGGCAGTGGTGGCCTGAACCTTCGGGAGAGATGGGCATGTTCCAGCAGCTTGACAGGGGCCAGGGTGACACAGGTATCACTCACCCCATGGCACACATAGGACCCTGCATTTCATTGGACATAAAATTCATCTCGAAAGAGAAAGGAAGACACACGTTAACCTCTAGTTTGTGACATGCGCAGTGAGGGCCTCACAAAGCTTAAGCGGAGGGTACGGGACGCCCCGCGGACAGAGGAGACCCAGCAGAACGTGAGCGGGGAAAATCCCGAGGGGTGAGCGTGCTCGCGGAGCAGGACGTGCACAGAGGGGCCTGGCGCCGTGAAGTGGCCAGGGTGCCGGTGGGTCTGACGCTCCTCCATTCCGCCAACCGAGTACAGCCCCGCTTTATTTCCAACACAGCGACAGCCCGGTCGGCACATGTTGCTCCACAGCAGCCACCGCTGGACAGCGCCCCTCCCAGCGCCCTGGCCAAGGGCTGCTCTCACAACACACCTGACTTAGCTCCGCGAAGGGAAGGAAAACGGACAAGCCGTGAAGCACCTCGATTTCTGCAAGCGCCGCAGGGTCGCGGTGGCTGACGACAGCAACCGGGCACAGGCGCCTGGCGGCGGGGCCAGCTGTGCCCAAAGAGGGGCTCCGTCCCACTCTGTCCACTGAGGGGCCTGGAGGACAACACCGGGCCGCACAGGGGCCTTAGTTTCTAGACACTGTTCCCCTACCAAATGGAGCCAGGACTCCTGGGAGAAACAGCTGATCCCGGCACTGGGACAGAGAAAGGACAAGACGGGCCTCGAACAGACTACTGCGTCGGAGTGGTACCAACTTAGGGGTAAATGACAAAAGGACCAGATGCCCACGTGAAGGGGGTGGGGTCCTCCTTGCGAAATGGGGACAATGACAAATCAAAGTGACTGACAGTAATGGACTCTAGCATCTTGAATGGTCCAGGACTTCACCTGGACATGGAACAAACAGAGGGAAGGTCAAGCAGCCAAGGAGAAGCAATGGGTGAAGACCCGCCATTCTGCAATCACCTTGGTAAATCTGGACGCTGAGACCACTGTGCCCGTCTGTGAGGTGACAGGACACTTATGGTCTCAAAGCTCCTCCCCCCCAGTTTAATCACTTATGAAGAAGTGATCAAAGTATCACCATAAGGACAGGACAATGGGACAAAATGCCGGCAGGTGCCCCAGGGGGTGCAGGGGGAAGGACGCAGCCACATGTGGTTGAATTCTGTCCAAATGCACCGGAATCCAAGTTAGACGACACCAGACAAGACCAACCGAAGGGCCTTCTACACACTTGTTTTCTGACAGCACAGGGAGGAGGTGTTCCAGATGAATGGAGCTGGAAGTTACTGGGATGACTGGTGAAAGAGAGTACAGAAACCCTATGCTACATCGTGGTGTTCGAGGAGCGCACCCATGCTAACCGTCCAGACTTTGCTCGGTACAGCTCCACTGTGTAGAAGAACGCCCTCATCCTCGGGAGGCCTACCCTGAGGAATTTGGGGGTGCAGGGCCACAGACAACCAACTCTCAGACGGTTTGGTTAAAACAATAACAAGCAGACATGGGGAGGGAGGCGCAAAGCAAACAGGAAGTGCTGGAGAACAGAGAGGCATCTGCAAGTTCACTGTGCTATTTATTCCTTCAACTTTTTGCAGCTTTGACATTTTTCTAAACAAAGAGGTAGGCAGGGAGCCACTGAAAATCTGCACAGTTGCTGACACACCCACTCTCAAGTCCTTCTTGAAAAATTCTACAAGAAAAGACGTACTTCTCATCAATCTTAACTGAGTGGCCACAGGGAGCAGGGCGGACAGGAACTTTTTCATGGGGATTTTTTTTTTCCTTATTAAAGTCTTTTTGATAGCTGGACTCGTGTGAACTAAGCTCCAAGATACATACCATTCAAGCTCGTCCACCCCAGGGCCTCTGGACTAGAGAGCAAGAGTCCGTGGAGACCGGCCCTCCTTCCCCCTCCGCCGCCGAGCACCCGGCAGCTGTCAGCACGGGCGGAAACCTCGGTTAGACAGCACTCCTGAAAACGGGGCAGCGCTGGGGAAAGGTCGCTCCATCCTCTCCCTCCAGAAACACCTTATCATCTGACCAACATACATTACCTCCTTCCTCCTCCTTCAAAGACCGGGGCACAGAAAACCACGCGCTGATCGCCAGAGAGAAATAAAAACTGCCCTCGTATTGGCCCAGTCTAACACTAAGTGTCCATATCCTGAGTCTGGAAGTCCCAGGACTAGAAATCTCTGAGAGTCCATTTACCAATGATTAGAAAACTTGACGTATCGTTCCCTTTGAAAATTAAATGAAAAGACCAAAAGAAGATCATCCTTGTGTTCGGATACACCAGCCCGTGGCCCCTGGTCACATTGTGTCCGCGAGATTCAGGGGAACCCACTCAGGACAGAGGACACTAGCGCGTGTAAAGGGATCTGTTTTGTAAAAGTAAAGAAATGAGTAAGCACACACTCACTGTGGATGTGCCACGCCACAGGCCAGAGGGCGGTGCCGGCCGGCCCCTCCCGGACACCGTGCCCACTCTGCTTGGTGACAGAGCACCTACTTCACTAGCTTGACGCGAGAAACAAGGGTGCAAAGTGCATCAGACAAAGAGTCCGCTCATCTTCCTATCTCAGTAGAAACAAAAGAGCGATGAGTGTTGTACAGCTCTTCCTTGATTTAGGAAGAAACCCACTGTAAGTGGAAAACAGCCTATCAAAAATCCAGTTAATACACCTGGCCAATCTTTTTTTTTTTTAAAGATTTTATTTATTTATTTGAGAGAGAGAGAATGAGAGAGAGAGAGCACATGAGGGGGGGAGGGTCAGAGGGAGAAGCAGACTCCCTGCCGAGCAGGGAGCCCGATGCGGGACTCGATTCAGGGACTCCAGGATCATGACCTGAGCCGAAGGCAGTCGCTTAACCAACTGAGCCACCCAGGCGCCCACACACCTGGCCAATCTTAAACATTCTGAGAACACTTGCATTGGCCGACAGCTTGGCAGAACCACTCGCACACGGCCTGTCTCACAAGAGAGTGTTGAATAGCTCCTGTAACTGACCGAATACCGTACCCAAAGTGACCAACAGAACGGCTGTGCGACACGGCGCTGCCCAGCCCCAGGACAGGACCGCACATCGCTAGCCTGGGCAAAGACCCACACCCCACACTCCAAGCACTGGTTCTCCTGACTGCATGTCCCTTTCACACCACCACGAAGTCAAAATATCCGATGTCGAACCCGTGTAAGTCGGGGACTGTCTGTGTATACAAGTAACAGGCACCATCTGTATACACGCTGTAACGCCCTTACTGCAGGTGGTGGCGGGACAGGGCCAGCAAGCCCCCTCCAAATCCAGCGCCCTTCGTAGGGAGCAGTCGGGGTGGGACCTGCACAGGCCACAACAGAGCTCTTTTGCATCCTTCAGGCAGCTGGTTCTCAGGGTCATCCCCCCCCCCACCGATGTACAGATGAGACTCTGGGACGGAGTCTTACCCCACACACAGGGTGGACTCCACGGCCTGTGGAGGCCGCTGTGATTCCCGGAGCCTCCCTCGACAGATCTTCAGTGTGCCCTGGGTCCCTCGTGTCTCCACGCCACCAAACACATAGTAAGACATCAGAAACTGTTGGCCTGGGATTGCTGTGACGGTTAACTTATGTGTCAACCTGACTGGGCTACGGCGCAGGTAGCTGGTAAAATATTTCCGGGTGTTTCAGGGGATCGGCGTTCAAACTGGTAGACCGAATAAAGAATACTGCCCTCACCGATGCAAGGGCATCACCCAATCCATAGAGGGGCACCAATGAACAAAAAAGGCAGAGGAATGGGGAATTTACTCTTTCTGCTGAAGCTGGGACACCTATTTTCTCCTACCCTCAGACACTGGGTCCCGGGTGCTTCCAACATGGACTGAATTCCAGCAGCTTTCCTGGGACTCCAACCTGCAAACCGCAGGTCATGGGACTTCCCAGCCTCCACAATCACGTGAGCCAATCCTTCATAATACGTCTCTTTCTCCACAGCTACAGATACCCTACGGGTTCTGTTTCTCTGAAGAACCCTAATACCCTTGCAAGGAAGACCGACATCGTCAACAGTGTAGTCACATTCCTACAGTATGACAAGCAGCAAAAATCCCACACTGAGCACATACTCTGTGGATGGGGAGCCCTCACTCCTCCCACAGTGCCCCCCTGCGAGGAAAGGCAAACACAGACCCCCAGGATACCTGGGGGTTAAGCACCCTCACAGCACATCATTCCTCCCCTTTGAAGGTGTTGCTGAGGAAAGAGACAACAGCCCACTACCATCCACCAAGGAACTGGGTTGATTCCACCAGACAGAGGTAATTACTATGAGCCAAAGCAAAGGACAGGCAGCTTCCCATTGAATTACAGTGAGTGGAATGCCGTGTAGCCAAAGAAGCTTCTTTTCAGCTGAAATACTACAGCAACAGCTCTGGTCTAATTCCCCAATGAGGAAACAAATTAAAGTCACCAAAGGACAGCCCACTCACCGCAGGAAGGCCTCTGCATACCTCTCCGAACTCCAAGGCACTACGAGTAACAGAGTGGTCAATCAGGGCCACTCCTGACACGCCCGCTGCAATTATGCACACACCCGCTAGCCATCGAGAGAGACAGAATTTTGGCATATTATCCATTTATTATGGTAAAAAGTCCCCTTTCCACATTTGTGCTTACAACTCAATCTAGACCAAACTGTTCCCTACACAGTGCAGATAGCTGCCTCGGAAACATCACACACACACACGTTGGAAGTAAATTAGGAGCACAACAGTCGTGCACTGAAATACACGTTCAGTAGGGTCACACAAGAAAGGTGCTTTGCTGGGCTAAACAGAACTCAACAAAGCCCGGCCTAACAGGAGTTGAGAAAAATACTGGCCCCAAGGCAATCCTACTGGTAAAGCCCTGGAACGGAGGTCATCAGGCCTGCCCGAGGCTCTACTGCTGATCACATGGGTACTCCACACAGGGCAGCCAGCAGGACATTTCTCAAACAGGCCAAACCCTGACACTCCCAGCTTCCCTGGTTTTCTCCCAGGCCCAGAGGCTGAGTCTGAGAACCTCCCTGCCCCCTCCACTGCCCCACAGGAGGCCACTCTCCAGCAATACTGCATTTCTGGAACCTTCTGACACATCACTTTGGCCCTAGGTCATACACTTCCCTCTCAAGCACTGTTCCTTGGTCAGTGCCCCCAGAACAATCTGCTGATCACCATGGTCCCAGCACCTGGCAGCACAGCCCACCCCAGGGCCGCTGAGTGCAGAAACAGAATCGGCTTCCTTTGAAGTCGCAGGTCCCATGGCACTGTGCTTTCCTGCCTCCACTGAGGCCTGCGGTGACTGAAGGACTCCTTCCCGAGTGGAGTGGTGCCCCCTGTGCCACACCAGTGACCACCACCCCCCAATTCTCAAGGGGCCTGGCACCTGGACATCGGCTACCGACCCGCTGTGGGGCTCCAGCAGCTTCGGAGCTCTACTTCCAGGCTCGGAATTGAAAACGGCGAGCTCCTCCAGAGAGAACCGCGGTGAGGCTGGGCCGAGTACTAAGCCAGGACAATCCCGCAGGCCCCGCCGACACCACCGCGAGACTGAACCAAGACAAAGGGCGGGCCCCTCCACCAGCCCAGGACCCCGCGCCCCCTCCACCTAGCCGCCCCGCCCGGGACCCCGCGCTCCCCCTCATCCCCCGCCCCGCCGAGGACCCCGCGGACCCCTCCACCTCCCCGCCCCGCCCGGACCGGGACCCCGCGGACCCCTCCACCTCCCCGCCCCGCCCGGACC